AAAAGGGGCCGGGGCATGAAACAACACGCCAGAAGGAGAAAAAAAAAAACTAAAGAGTAAAAAAGATAAATAAAAAATTACAAAAAGAATACAAAATCAAAAAAGAAAAAAAAGGGGTCGGCCGAGGCGCGAAACGACACTTTCTTGCTATCCGACAGCGGGCACGTTCGGATATTAATGCGCATCGACGCCCGCCGTGTACCCGGCCCCGTGGGCGCGCTCTCTCGTTTAGCGGCGCGCTGTGAACATTTCGGTACGCACGCCACTCTGCACAACGCCCCTCCCTCGATCGCCTTCATCCGCCGGCCCGAATCGAAACTTCGGCCCGATTCCGGCGCGCAGCGGAACACGACCTCCCCTCGCGGGCCCACCGCGCTTAAGGGGTAGGATAGTGGTAACTGATAAAGTAATAAAAATAAAAATAATAATAACAATATCAATAATAATAATAATAGTGGCAAAAATAATAATGGGAAAAAAAAAATAATGATAATAATAATAGCGGTAATATTTTATCAACGTTTTGAATGACTTTCCAGAGAGCAAGGGATCCATGAGGAAGATGTCTATTAGACGTACCACTTGTCAAAGACCCTCCTCCCTTCACTTTCTCCTCTCCCTTTACCTTTCCCTAACTCTTCCTTTTTCCTTTATCTTTTACTTTTCTCCTTCATTTCCCTCCTTTTCTGATATTGCCCTTGCCTTTCGACGGGCAGCCCACTGTCTCGTGGAGATCGCTGTTGCACCACAGACAATAGTGGAATCTCGTGCGTGCCTTGTATGCTTGGTCGGAGAGACCGTAGTGGGACCATGGGGCTGGAGCTGCTGCGCCGGGCCCGGGGCTAGATGCGGTGTTTGTCTTCGCCTTGCCGCGTCCTCGGCCTTTGCCGGGGCGGCCACTTTTGGCCGATGTTGATCTCTGCTCGGGCCTGTCGCAGACGAACGGTGGAGGTTCTTAGCCTCCTTGTTCGTGACAATAATCTGCGCGGCCTTGTCGAAGAGCTCCACCGGTGTCGTCAGGGTGTCCTCGATGTGAGTCAAGGCATTGCCCAACGTCGGACATGACCTCGAGATGAAGTAGTGTTTGATGGCTTTGAAGCCCATTTGAATGTCTGGGACGGATGTCAAGCGTTGGTACTCGGCAATCCAATCAACACTCGGCAGCATGCCTTGTTCGAAGGTCATCAGCTTGTCCATTGCCTTGATCTTCGGCGGCTCTACTTGGAACCGCTTATGCCACGCCGCCTTTGGATCATCCCAACTGATCTTGGTGTGCAAGTCGGCAGCCACCACTCCGTACTTGGACAAGAGATTGACCAACCATGGTTGGCACGCGCCCCCCGACCGGGAGTATAAGTACGCATGGTGCTTGTGTTCGCTGACGTGGTGGAGCCGCAACTTGAGCTCGAACTTGCGGAACCATGGAATCGGGTCCTTCTTCGTCGAGTCGCAGAAGATCTCCTGATCGTCGAACCTTGGCGTCGTCTCCCGAGGTTCCGAGCTCGAGTGGGTGGCGGCAGTACAGATTCGTTGCTCCAACTGTTGCGTTGCAGTTTGTTGTAACTGCACGCCGTCCTTGAGGGATCCGACGTCAATCTCTAAAGCCTCGAGGCGATCGGAGGTGTTGGAAGAGCTGGCATCGGGGGCGGCGACGGGTCGTTGCTCCAGCTGTTGTAGGCGCCTGCTGACTTGAGCTAACGCGTCGTCGAGGTTGTGGATGTCCTCGTGCTGTGTAATGCATGTTGCCAGGAGGTCCGTGAGATGGGAGAGGAGTAGAGCGATCTTGGTTTCAGTCTCTTCCATCTTACCAGTCTCGGCCTCGACCCGCCAGGCTGCTGCCATTGCGAGCAAAGCTCGCTCTCCGCTGAATATCTTCTCGCGTCGTTGAATTCGTTCTTCATCGGCAGCCTTTGCTGCTGCCTCGCCTTGCTGGCGCTGCTGTTCAACTGCCAACAGACCTGCCTTCTTAGCGTCCTCTGCCTTCTTCTTTGCTGCGGCTGTTACTCCATTCGACCGTTGCTTGGCTTCGGTAATCAGAAGCAGCATCAGGGCCTGATAGGCCTCGTCCGTTTCTCCGGACTTCTGGTCCATGATGGCTGTTTGCGAGCGAGTGAGCATAGACCAGGCCGGGGGCCTGCTGACGTGGTACTCCCTGCTGCTGACGTGGCACTGCTGTTGGCTGATGTGTCCTGCTGACATGGTCTGCTGACGTGGCAACTTACCAATGCTGCCGCAGGGGGTACCCGGAGACTGATAGAGAAGATAAGATCAGAGGGGGCAACAACGTAGGTGGAGAGGGGTGGGTGGGATAAATCGCCCAGATAAGAAGCCACTAATCAAAAAAGAAAAGTTTGAACTTTGCAAAAAATTTCGAGAAAAAGAAAAAAATACTTGTTTGCAAGTTCAGTAGGCCTCCCAATTCCCCCTGAAGTGCGAAATTATGAATGAGAACCTTCAGACTGCAGACGAGTGTCCGATAAGAATTCCGAAAAGAAACTACAAACAAATATTCAGAATTACTTAGATGAGAGTACGCGCAGTTTCGAAAATGATAACTGCAAGAGGTACTTCCCGTGCCGTTTTCAGAAGAAAAAAAATTTCGGAAAAAAAAATATTCCGAATTTCCAAATAACGGGAAATTGCAAAAGGAAATCAAAATTTTCGAAAAAAAGATATTTCCGGATCTCCAACAACGAAATTTCGAATTTTCAGAATAAAAACGAAAACAGAAATTTCAGTTGTTGCGCTATTGCGATTTCCACAACAGAAATAGCGGGAAAACAAAATCCAAGAAAAAAAAAAAAAAGATTTTCGGCAATGAGGTCAAAATCGTGATTTTGGCGGCTAACTAGTGTGTTCTAATCAATCAATCAAGACTAATCAGCTACTTAGTCCCCCCGCACATGTGTCAGATCAGGTTGTCCTGATTCACGTGTGGTGCTCCGATACCAACTGTTACATGCCCAGTTGGGCGATGTACATATATAACCGAGGATCCGCAATGTGATAAAAAGGACTAAATGAACAATGCAGTGCAAGTGAAATTTCAACAAGCAGTGTGCATTCTGATACATACAAAAATGGTGCTTTATAGCACAGTGGAAGACTTAGATACAAGTCCTACCTGACCGGGACTGGCCTCTATCACGTAGTGCAAGACAGCGCAGCAGAATGCTAGGATACCAATGACTAGCCCAATCAACGTTGCAACGCAGACCCAACATACATCATTCTCATCACAAGGTGTGAAGGGGCCTGGCGCTACACACAGGAAGAAGGCGCCAGGTCCAGATCATGCACAGACGAAGAGGAGGGGAACAGACGAAGAAGAGGGGGAGAGATGGGAATGTCGTCAACACCAAGTCTTTGTTACAAGTCCCAAATAATCCCTC